AAAAAAAACTAGAGGTAATTAAGGGCCTATAGAGTGGAAAAAATCATGTTCTGTAAAAAAGCGTTTGTTAATTTTTTCCCCTCCTTAATCATTACAATTTGATAAACATGATTTAAACTATAACATTTTCCTCTAAGTCTTATCAAAAATAATTTATATAGCTAGATCTTTTCAAATTATTATTAACATCTATCAAATTATTAAGTTTTATCTAAGGCAAATTGTTAATCAAAATTATATGTAAACTAACTTCTATGCAATTCAGTTTGTATCGCAAGATCCAATATCCTCCTGATTGCTTTCATTTATATGGCAGGATTGCAATTCGCAAGGTATGCAAATTGCATGGTAAAATTGTATGTCCTCTGACTTCTAACAAATTCAATTTATATGGCAAATTCTAATGACCTTTTAGCCTTTTCATTGCTATTTATGATCAACGTCAAATTGTTTTAAATGTAAATAAAAACATAAAAATTTTTTAATTGTAAATAAAAAATAACATTTTATAAAACAAATAATTCTAAGATTCATAAATTGAAAACGTATTGTAAATTTGTTTCATTTCGTATCTTTGTGCTTTTATGATTTTGCAAGGAATATAATAAAATTGTAAAATAATAAAATTATTTGAAATAGAGTTATTCCATATTTAGCTTGGTTTTCAATGTATACTTTCTTTTTTGTTCAACTTCTGGTCTTTGGATTTAAACCAAATGAAGTTTTACATTTACAATAGTTTGTTCAAAGAGAAAAAAAGGATGGGATACTCTCATCTCGCGAAGAAGAAGATCGCTGATACACAACCATCCTGATCTATAACCTCATCACAATAGCTGGTTGTTTATTAACATGATGGTGTGTTTAAAAAACAGCTGTTATACTTGTTTTTTTTTTGTTGTTGTTGTTGTTTTTTGTCGGCATCTCGTCATTAAAAACGAAAAATTAGTGGCTCATTTCTTTTGTTTTTTCAAGCATCGATTACATATTTCATAAATTTACAAGAATTTCAATAGTTTCGAGATTATCGCACGAAACGATAATCGGGTATTAGATCGCATTACGAATTCATATTTCACGGGCTAGCTTGAAGTAAAATGGAAAGAACAATTGCTATAAGCTAATGTCAGGCTTCAACAACCAGTCAGGATCGATTCTAAGCCGAACTAATAGTCACATTTCAATGAATAACAATCACAATGAAGAAAACTTTAAATTAAACTTGCATAAATATAATTACAGCTTAATAATTTGTTGAATAAATCGAAATAATATGGTGGAATAATTTGTTGATATAAACTGTTCACTTTTAATCTTTCGATTTTTCCCAATTTAAAGATCAGTTTGTTTCAGCGTTTCGATTTTCAAACAGAAAAAGAATTTTCATTCAGAAATTTGTAAACATGTACGTTTACGCTTTCATAATTTTGGCTGCTCAGATGCCTAACATTTCAATTCCTTGTTGCCAAGGCGACAAAGAAATGAGGACTTTCTTTATCGCCGGGGAAGAGAATACATTATACACAGATTTCCCCCATATGTTAATAACTTGCTGTTATTTCTTAGATTCCATTAATCCTCGTGTTAACCCAACATCCTCATTTTTTTCTCATATGCGATGCATATTGTTAGTAATAGTAGTACTTTATTAATCTAGCACAAGAGCTGCACAATGGACTATTAGCGACGATTTGGAAAAAACTCCTGAGAATGATCACAATTTTGATCTTCTGCTGTCGTGAAGGAGTTTTTGACGGAACTTGCCAGCATTTGTGTTCGATGGAAAGGAAAACCTCACACGGTTAGCCCAATGGCATAGTGTTTTATTTTATTTTATGATCGTCGTAGAACAGCAAACCCAATTTTGGGTATACGACAACCAATGTTCGATTCCGTAACCTTGCAATTTTGAACCCAATCCTGAAGACAAGGGAACTCTTGGATCAAGTATTGTGAGAAATATTCCTTCGTGGAGGACTTTTCGATGGAACTATCCCGCATTTGCATTACATGGAAGGAAAAACCACGAAAGCCTCCCACGGTTAGTCAAACGGTAAGGGAACTCTAACCCATGATCCGTCTACCACTGAGGAAATTTCACGTCAGCACTGTGGTCGGTGCAAGCCGGATGCGGAATTCGTATCGACCAGCCATCGCTGGGATACGAACCCGGTTCACCGCATTGGAAGGAGAACACTCTATCCCCTGAGCCACCACAGCTGCAGCCAAAAGATTGAAATAATTTTCTTTTGTTGTTGTTCTCATGCGCTAATTATTTACTGTTTTCTCTTATTGCCTACAGTATACACTTGTCTGTACGCCAGATGGGTCTTTATGATAATTGGATGTTATTCTATTGGTCGGTGGTTACAACGAATTCCAGACACTTTAACCTTGTGGTAAGAGGAAATGTGTCCTCCTGAATTGAATTGATGGTGAGATTAATTCGATACCTACTATAACCTTACCAATAAAATCAAAACCAATGCTAAACTTTAAAAATTAATTCGGATCTAATTCGGAATACTAGTTCGTATCCCCCAATAACCTAACCAATAAAATCAAAACCGATATTAAGTATTAAAGAAAAAAATTGACTGATTAAAACCGTAATCTTTAAACGCAATTCAAAAGACAGCTGATCATGAATCTCTTAAGGTTGTTCTTAAAAGGCCCCATCTTTACGTGGTAAAACACTTTTCTGAGATTAACACGATATTTTTATAACCGCTATGAGCATGTTACCGTTATGAGGTCAAGTTTTCTGCACGTTCCACCAGCACCCGCTATGCCAATTATTAGAATAGTGCACAATATTTATGGAAATAAACACCTCAGTCATGTGAAAATGAAGATTTAAATATTTAAAAAGTAACTCCAACACTGCATTTTATTTTATTTTATGATAAAACCGTCGTTGAACAGCCGACCTAATTTTTGGGTATAAGACTACTAATGTTCAACTCCGTAGCCTTGTAATTTTGAACCCAATCCAGAAGACAAGGGAACTCTTGGATCGAGTATTGGGAGAAATTTGCCTTTGTATAGGACTTTTCGATAGAACTATCCCGCATTTGTGTTACATGGAGAGGAAGACCATGAGAACCTGTAATGGTTAGCCTAACAGCAAGGGGAGTGTAACCCATGATCCGTCTACCACTGAGGATATTTCACGTCAGCACTGTGGGAATTCGTATCGACTGGAATTTGAACCCGGTTCGCCATATTGGAAGGCGAACGCTCTATCCCCTGAGCCATCACGGCTCTTCCAACACTGCATTGTTCAATTTTATAAAATCATGGAAAGCACAAAACTATTTTGATTACAAATGGATTTTAATAACTTTCCGTTGGGCTTAAAATCTCGCCAAATTGGCGTCTTTTAAAAAGTTAAATATTTTTAGCTCGTTTTGCTTTTTAATGTTCGTATGATTCTTTATGCCAAGATAGTATACATAAACTGTCTTTTTTTTCTTTTCCTTTGCTAAAAAGCTTCGAAAAAACTCTAACCTAAATAAGAGCTAATTTATTTTTGCCGCCAAGGCATTACTTATTTTTTGTCACCATTTATTAAATTATTTATCTGCTCAGCAGGTATCGTTCCATTCAACTCCATTTGATACCTGGAGAATATTTATGACGCCATTTTTTTTTTTACTCTTCGTCTGCTGATTGTCGAGAGCGTCACACGTGCCTCTTTTTTCACGTCTCTGTAGTAACTTTTATGTCGGTCTCTTATTTCAATTGTTATTTCTTTGTAAGTAAAAAGATGTCTTAAATTTTCCTCGACCATTTCATTGTCTCATGTCATTGTCTGTCATTGTTCTGAAAGTTTCCAAATGGTTTCTTGAATATACCAGTTCTTACTTTGCTCCAACGATATTATGTAAGTAGCATAAGAGTTTCAAAAAAAAAAATTTTTTTTTGTGAAAAAAATATAATCAATGTAATCAATGAGTTACAAACTTGGACAAGTGATACAGTTACAGTGAGAATTCGTTTTCCACAGATTGAGATAGATCAAACGCTCTGAAACCACGTGACAGCAGGACACTTCTCTTTGCTAGTCAAAATAATTTTATTCACTTCCAAAATCTGTGCTTAAAATTAAACTCATAAATCTGAACAAGAGTTTATTAATTTTTTATTTGTAACAATAAATCACATAAGGTACGTAAGGGCTTTTATATAATTATTAATTTAATATTAAATTGTAGAAAAAATGTAAAACTATCAACTGCTACTTGAAAAACTACTTTTTATCAATTTTCAATTATTCTTCAATTAATTTTCACATATGAATCAAAGTTGAAAGAAAATTTTTTCAGATTTTATTTGCAAAGAAGAGTATTGTTTTATTCTGATATTCTCACTTGTTTCTTGTAAAAGTTCTTCTTTAACAAGTTGAACGCCACGCTAATTTTACATGGCTTTCCCATCTGGCCACGGTAAAATAAATACTAACCAAATTTGAAAATATTAGACTGATTTTGCTATTTTTTCAGAAGGTTTATCATGACATATCTGACAAAAGTGGTGAATTATATAAGCTTATGAATTATGTAGAAATAGTGGTGGATAAAAATCTACTAAATTGAATTTATTAAACCAAGAATCACAATTATTAAGTAAATTTTGAATAAATTTTCTGCAATTCCATAAAAGAGTGTACATTTTATAGTTCTATATCATGTTGTACTCTGTCAGCCAGCTGTTTTTCGCGGCCTATGTGAAAGGTCAGTGTCAGCAAGCGGTGGTTGACGCAGCCTAAATGTAATTTCAGTGTCAGCCACCAGTGGCTGACGCATCCTAAATGGAAAGTCCAGTGTCAGCCACCGATGGCTGATGCGGAGCTCAACGTGCTAAACTATTTTTAATTTCATTCATACTTTAAAGATAATTTTCTCAAATTTCATATAGTCAGCATATTAGTTTCTTATTTTGATATTCTCGTAATTTTCTTTTAAAGTTTAAAAAAATCCGCCTTTTTGAATTTTGCATGAGAATCATGAAATCTTCGATCCATACAGGATGAAGTTTATATGATTTTACAGTTTGGAGCTGTAAACTTTACTTTTGAATGGGGCTATTTCTTAAAAGTAAATTTCAAGATAAGAATCTTCTTCCTAAAATTACTCCAAGAAAAAGTAATTTTGCATAAAACATGTATTACACAAAATATCCACAAGTGTATAATTTATAATTTAAACTCAAATTTCGTCGAAATCGTAACAAAAATATTGCACTCACATAAAGGTAATGATTTCACATTTCACACTCACATAAAGGCTTAATCAATAACACTTTCAGTCCACATGAAAGAAAACATTTATAGAAAGTTCACTTACAATAAGTGTGTTAAATTGCAAAAATATTTGTAAGCAACTAGTAAATATCTAATAGCTTAAATGAAGAGTTAAAACACATCCTCTTAGCATTTTTGCTATAGTAGACTGTTATTTGCACATTTCATCCATGCTTACGTACATAATTAACATTCACATGACATTTAGCTAGTTATATTTCACAAAACCTGAATGCAGGCTTGGTTTCCAAACCAAACTTCTATTTTGCTTTTCCAGCATAATGCCTCTCAACTCAATTGCTAATACTCGTATAGCACACATCAACTTAAAACTATTTAGGCACTTTTTTGAACATTCAAGAAGCGTAAAATTCGCAGCTTCCGAGAAAGGAATTGCGGTTCAGAATACTCTGAACCAAACCTTCAAGCTATTTCTAAAACACTAGATCTACAGCTATGTCCTAGCAAAGATTGTGTTGACACAGATCTGTTGTCGTTTGGCCTTGGGGGTGATCTTTCGTCAGATACAGTCTGAGAAATGCTGCGTAAAGGTTCCATGCCTTCCAGTCTTATTTCAACATCGCAACACACTCTCCAAAGTACTAGAAAAGAGCCGATAATCACAACTATGGAGGCCACCAGAAGTCCCAACAGTGTCCCAGGAGTGAATCGCTGAGGTCGCATGAAGTTGATGAACATTTCATCCTCCGTTGTTAGATTGGACGTTTCTTCGTGCTTGTAGGCGTCAAAGTCTAAAGAAAAAATTGTAATTAATAACAACATCAAGAATTAACATAATAAATTAAGTCCTTTTACGAATTAAAATAAAGCAACACAACGTAAATGATGCATAAATACGGGCATAGTTTGTCTATAAAAAGAATTTCCCTCCACCTAAGGCAGTTTGCTGCTATGGAAACAGGAAATAGCCTGTAAAAGGAACCTTCCTCGATGTCTAAACATGTAACGGTCCCCTTGCCGTCAGGCTAACAGTGGGAAAACTAGGAAAATTATTTCTATCTTTTAGCTGGAGCCGTGGTGGCTCAAGAGATAGAGCATTCGCCTTCCAATGAGGTTAAACCGGGTTCGAATTCTGCACCAGCCTCGCACCGACCACAGTGCTGACATAAAATAGCCTCAGTGGTAGACGGATCATGGGTTAAAGTTCCGTTGCCACCAAGAGGTTTTCGTGGTTTTCATCTTCCTGTTCTTCTCCCCCATGGTTATCCAACCTCACTAATGCTAACATTTCTTTTCATCGATATATATGTATATAAAATAAATCACCTGTCAGTATTTTTAATAATTAAATTTAATAGCTCTAAAATACTCGCCAAAACGCAAAAACCAACTTCTAAGATAACAAAATAAGCTAATAAAAAGCCGATTGGACTGTATAGTGGTCAGGAAGCTGACCTCATGATCTGGCATAAAAGAAAACAATGTATTTCCAAAATCATACAAGTTGAAATCAGAAACTAAAATATAACCTTATAAAGTAAATCTTTTGTATAGTTTTACGAAGCACTAACATTTTATCTTAATTATACATGGATATGAAAAGAAAACAAATTACTCTGCAAAATCATTTCTTAAAATCATCAGCAATATTAGAGGTTGGATCATAAATTAACAAAAAATATATAAAATACACAAAGTAAGTTTTTTTTTAGTATCATGAAAAGAAATTAGAATGGTTTGAAATTTTAATATTTATAAAACCAAATCAATTTTTTCATGTGTAAAATATTCCTTAAGAAAAATGAAGCTTTTGAAAGATTGAATTAAAACGTAGCGTCATATTTTGGAATAAATCCTTGATAAAAAATTTCCTTTTCTTCTTTAAAAGTCTTACTTAAAAAAAATCATGTTCAAACCATTATTTTTTGTTTAATTTTTTTATATATATTATTTTTATGAACTAAAATGGTTTATTATTGTATTTTGGATGAAAATATTGTGAATTTACCTGGAAATATTGAATGAAAATATTGCATCATTTACCTGGAGAATGTGAAATTATATCAAGCATTACAAAATTTTAAGCTCACTGAAATTTTCTATAAAAAAGACCTCATGAATATTTTTTTGCAAAACCATAAATTAAAATGTTATGAATGAAAGTTATAAAATAAAGTTATTACCTCATAGTAGAAAATAAAACTGTTTTACAGAAACCTGTGAAAAACATGGTAGGATTGACTGTATAAAAGGTTTAACTAATTCTATATTTTTCTTGTTGTTGTTAATTTACGTCGCACTAGAGCTGCACAATGGGCTATTGGCGACGATCTGGGACACATACCGGAGGATGATCCGAAGACATGCCATCACAATTTTGATCCTCTGCAGAGGGGATGGTACCCCCGCTTCGGTAGCCCGATGACCTGCACGCGAAGTCGAGCACTTTACGGTAGAACAGTTTAACGAGGACCCATACTGTACACCCTCGGTCCCTACGCAGGCTGATCCAAGTGGTCACCCACCCGCACACTGACCGTAGCCAGTGATGCTTGACTTCGGTGATCTGCTGGGAACCGTGTATTAACGATCAGTCCACTGCGGGATTATATTTTCTTATTTAGACGTTTATGTATTTGTTAAGAGCTGGATGGCAGCATGATATCAAGCAAAATCACAAATTGATTTTGATCAGCCATTTAGCTATGCGACCAAGGGGAAATTACTTCTGGTATTATTTTCATCCAGAAAAGTAATTTTTTACAGTTAATTTTTTTTTTTATCCTTTATAGTGCCAACTACCATTAATATAAGTAGAATTGAGTGTTGTTTCTGTCTATTAACCATTTTAAGGTAAAATCAAGGAGAAATCACTTGTGGTATCATTTTCATCCAGAAAAGTAATTTTTTTATAGCAATTCTGTTTCTTCTTTCTATATCAATCAGTTATCAATATAAGTAGAATCTTATGTTGTTTTTGTCTATCAGCCATTTAGAAGTAAAAATCAAAAAAAAAAAAAAAAAAAAAAAAAAAAATTNAAAAAAAAAAAAAAAAAAAAAAAAAAAAAAAAAAAAAAAAATTCACGTGTGATATCATTTTCACTGAGAAAAAATTTTGTGATAATTTTTTATTCTTCGTTCCTGTGTTGTCATTACCGCATGCAGAATCACTTATTGTTTTTATCTATTATCTATTTACTAGTAAAATCAAGGGGTAATCAGGTGTGATATTTCTTACAATTTCTTATTCGATCAAATATTTTATAAAGCAAGGGTGAAACAAATTATATTCTTACACAGAAAATACGTTTTTAAAAGCAATCAAATAGAAAAATCAAATCCCAAAGTAATATTTTTAAGTGATAAAAGATTATACCAAATATTATCCAATGTATTGGAAACTGTATTTTAGGGTATAAAGATCAAGTAATCAGGGTTTTTTGATCCATAATTATATAAAAATTAACAGTTTTGGTACTGCCAGCTGCATGAATTGGTATGAAATTTTGCATCTAATTTAATTAATATTGATGCTAGCACACCCAAGTAAACTGGAGTGAGGAAAAAGCTTTTAAATTCAAATGTTTTTTTAACGAAAATAATGGATAATAAATAGCACTAATGGATAATAAATAATGGATAATAAATAGCATGAATGGATAATAAATAATGGATAATAAATAGCGTTAATAAATAGCACTACTAATATTATCTTCATTCCGTACGAAAAATAATCTAATAAACGGCAAAAATTTTTAAGACCACAATTAAATTCTTTCAGAAAATATTCTCCAAAGCATTTTTGAAAAGTCTATTACGAAAAACTTTGCATCCAAAAATATTCCAAAGCAAAAGTTTTAAAGGAAACTAAGATTTCATGGCTTTTCGCTGGAATTATGAAAAGAACTTTCAGTTTCAGAAGAACTATATAACGGAAGACTTGACCATTTATTTTTACAGCTTAAAATAAGGAACAAAAGATTCTTTTTAAATATCCTGTTAAATACTATGCTTTCAAGTTTTATGTTTTTACCTTAAAAGCGATAAAGTTAAAAGAGTAATGAATTTCTGAATGTTGTTCTATTATCCAGTTTTTCTAAGACTTTACATGAAGGCTTCTTTCATTTTAAGAACTGAGTAAGAAAAATAAACAATAAGTAATAATTTAATAAATTCGTGATAACATTATTTAAATACAGATAGCAGAAATATTGTTTTGTTTTCATATTTGATTAAATACTTGTAAAAGTTCAGGTAACCAAAACTTTTCCTATCATGTTCTGTTTTTAAGAAATATTAATTGTTTTGAATTGTTTAAGAAATTACTGGCTGTGCACATCCAGTAATTTCCAGTAGTGCTTCAAATCATTATACCTCACTTAGGATTTTAAGCGCACAAAATAAAATAAAATATAAGAACAAACACTTTTGATTTTATTAACGGATTTTTCATGCTAAAAAGAATCTTAGTTTTCACACTACAAAACAATCTCTGAATAAACAAATCGGCATTTTGATGGATTTGGATTATTGATCTTCAAAATATGATTGCTAACCACAATCTATAAAATACGGTTTAAATTGTTAAAATGGAAAACGGTCAAAAGTTTTGGCACATATTAAACCTTAATATCACATTTTTCGCATTTTGCTACTTATCTAGAACTTTTTATACGATTTAAAAGAATTTTGCATGACGTTATACGAATTGCTCGATCGAAGATAATTCCGTGCAAAACGAATTATTTATATGTTCTTTTTTTATTAAATAAGTTTAAAAAAATGTTTCCACAGTAAAATATATACATTTTTATTTCATATCAAATTAGGTGTTTTTAAATTACTACATTTGAAATTTTCATTTCTCAAGAACTATTAAATCGTTTCGAATTCGAACGATACTAATAATTCGAATTCATTTCGAATTTCCAATTTAGTGAGTTAAAATTAAGCTAGCTGCTTAAAATTATCTTAATCTATATGTATTTTACTATTCAAAAATTTTCTGAATGTCATTAAGTTTGGTAGAATATTAATAACAAAATATGAAAAAAAATATTTTTTATTAAAAACTATTTGGAAAAAATTTTTTTGCAAATTTGTTAGAAAAGTATTTAGATTTTCTTAATAATTTCATTGATGTAGCAAAATACTCATAAATTAAAATTAGCATTACATTCCGACAGCTTCCCAGCTTTAACTATTGGGACAGTCAGTATTTTCCAGATTTCCAGTATTTTTATTGTGGCTATCCGTCATGCTTTGAGGACAAAGAATCCGAATATTCCGTAAATGTTTTTCCCGAGGAAATACGTTTTTGCGTTTGATTTCGTAACTTAAAATTTCATCTGCACGAAGTAAAAAAATTAATTGAGGTAAGCCCATTAATCAATTAAGACTGGATAAATTTAATCACTAAAAATACGATTAAGTATTTTATTTTTTATTTTCAGCACTGCACTTATCAATTTTCTCCATTTTACACATTTTTTACTACGTTTTCATTACTTTATTTTCATGTGTGTGTGGGAAATCTTGCAATCGAAATTTCGATATCTTACTAATCAGCACTTAAAAATCCACTGGAATTCTTTGTGTTGAAAACAAACGTTTTGATGAGTGCTAATTACTCGCTGTCCGAGTCCTGCAGTGGACTGATCGTTAAGACACGGTTCCCATCAGATCTCCGAAGTCAAGCCTCACTGACTGCGGTCAGTGTGTGGATAAGTGACCATTTGAATCAGCCTGCGTAGGGACCCAGGGTGTGCAGTATTGGTCCTCGTTAAACTGT